TGCAGTGCTCCTATATACATGATACCTGCTAAGGTCTAATGCTGGTTTGTAAGTTTATCATGCCAGTTTGGGCTGATCTGCTGGGTTTTGAATAACTTCTCCGCTAAGACTCAAATTGCTCTCAAATGTATTTCAGTTCAGGTTATTACTGACTAATAAAAAGCAAAGATTATGCAAAACCTAGCGGTACAGAAAATGTACTACAAAAATTCCAAGACTTCTGAAATACAGTTTGCAAGGAGACTAACTCTCATTTCTATATTTTCAGGAGCATGCTGACTACATCCAAATGCATCTTCTCTCACACGGTGGCTGGAAACAAGTAAAGCTAGAGATGGGGATGAGAGCGTGCTTCCCATCCATTCAGACCATTACAGAAAATGCCAACAGCCTCACACTTCTAGCACACCACTGGTTCCACCAGAAAACTCCCTGATCTCTAAGCCTTAGTTGTGCCACAGCTGCAGGGAGGATATGGACTATCATCAGCAGAAGGACCTGTTAGCATGACAAAGTTCTGAACATGCATCCCCTGGAAGTCATCTGAGAAAATGGATTTTGAATGTTGAATAGACTCTGGTACCATTTGCTTTTTAATGGATGTCACACCAGTCATGGCCCCCTGGACACATGCTGCATGGCCTCCCTGGGACTATACGGGCCGTGAGAGCCGTCTCAGAGCTGCCACACAGGAAACAGGCTCAGAGCCCCATCTTGCTATGCTGCCCTGCTGGTAGGAGCAGTAGGGGGAGGGGCAGCCAAGCAAAAGCCTGAGGTCCAAAGGCTAACCCCTAGCATGCCAGATGAACCCTGCAGGCCACCAGTTGGATAGCCCTGCATTACATCTTCCACCCTTCTAATCTCTTTCTCCCCTTTCTGCCTGCTCTTCTCCCTTTCTACTCCCCTTCCCCTCCCCTCCCTGCCATATGGTTCTATCACTGCTGAATTATATATCCAAAGTTAGACTACAGTCTCTTCAGAATGAGGCCTACTTCTTCAATTTGTCTTGTACATTTTAAATAATGCTAATAATCCTCCCCCACCCCCAGCTCTGGAGGGAGCTTTTGTACACACAAAAAAAACACCAACTAGAGCATGGAGGGAAGTAGTATTTCACATGGTAGTAGTTTTCATTACATTCCTCCATTTCTGTCTCACTGCATAAGAACCTGAAAAAAGAAAGGGCAAGAGAGCTGTGTCCTAAATAATAATTCTGATTTTGCCACAAAGTGGGGTGTAACATGTGGAGGTGGAACACTCTTCTTACTGGAGGATGCAACAGATCTTGTATTCCCAACTTTCTCTGAAAAACGTTCCTCACTGGCCCTGGGGCCAGCAGGAAATCTTTATTACTTCTGCTGCATATATCTTGTATCTGATCTGAATACACATTCAGCACTTTGAAGAACTAGTTTTCTTTCTTTAAATCAAGCAGTGCAGGCACATGCAAAAAAGACTGAAAAGGTTTGCCTCTTAGCTTTCAACCATAGTTTCAAGAATGCACATACCTGTGCTCTCCTGCATATGTTGTATATGCAAGCTTTGATGCATATCCTCAGTTTGCATGTCATATAGGTAAGCACCCCTGCAAACTGAGGACTGTACGTAGCAAATCAGAAGCTAAGTGCATAAGCATATTTTTGTGGAGGTGCCCTTGCAAATCTTCCCTGTAACCAGTTTAACCTGCCAGTTCAAATGGATCTCTTCAACAGCGAGCAAAATGAGTTCACAGGATCTTTTTCCACTTCTAGCAGTGGTAGCTTAAGGTGGACAAGTAGGAATGATCTGGTCTTATTCCCTGCACAAACCTGTCCTTGACTGCAGTTCTATTTTTTTAAATAGACGAGAAAAAGACACTATTATAGCTTCTACAACATAACCTCTCTACAGGTTTAAATTGTTGCTTAAGTGTTCCTGCAAGATGGTCTCAGAGGAGATTCATTCGCTCTGCAAACCTAATTGTTTGCTCCTTCTCTAAGCCTCTTCATACTATACCAACCTTCAGGGGATCTTCTCAAAGAATGGGAGCTGTTGACAGTTCTGACACTTCAGGGCTTTATTATGACATAACGAGCACTGGTACTACAGAGTAGTGCGGGATTGCTTTGTAGTTTATAGGAGAAAATATAATTGTCCCCTCACCTGGGAATTGCACTGATTCTTTGACTCTGTGTCAATGGCAAAGAGCTTCTCAATTACTTCAATATTAAGATCTTCATCTAAGGAACTGTAATAGTCTCCTGGGCTGCTTGGCTGCACAGGAATAAAAAAAACCTGTGAGAAAAAGTTAGATGACCTATGCATTTGACGCGATGCAGAGTCGCAGGGTGCACAGTGCCGTACAAAAATGAATGTCGGCTCTAACAGGTAGCTAGCAAGTTGGGGCCTGTTGTGTTCTCACAGCTGTAAACACACCCTTCTCCAACAGAAAATTAGTTTCTTCATGAAGAAATGGTGAAAACATTTACAGTAAATAACTAGTAAAAGCAGTCAACCATTTGGATAGGAAGTGACCAGGGTAGAAAGGCACAGAATATAAACCTAAACTTAAGCATGGTTCCTGTTCTGTTTTTCTCTTGAGGCTCCAGCTCCAGTTTTTATCAGCCTAAGTTAATGGGGCATCACCTCATAATGGCCTGCTATGCTAGTGCTTTCCAGTTTTGGGGAGCAATTGTGCCTTTTAATTAAACTAAGTACCACCTGTCACAGAACTGTGCACAGTCCAGCTAGTTTTGAGTAAATGAAGCTGGTGTTGTGTTAGATAAGCAAATTGGTGGAAGGCATCAGACATTCAGTGAAACCCAGCACAGAAGCTTGTTTTTTTTTCCATAAGGAGAGAAAATCCATGTTGTTAGCTTTGAAAGCAAGGAACTACCAAAACGAATAGGTCTATTAGTGTTTGGAAATCATGAACAAAGGCTACAGCTTTTAACTAATGTACAAAAGAAGATAGGTGGTGATGTTCTGGGGTTTTTGATAGTAGCTAAACCATGTAAAACAACACTTATACAGGCCATCAGCAACTATTAGTGCTATCATGTTCTAGCAGCTGTTTGTAATGACAGAAAACTAGTGAGGGTGGCTGGAAGAATTCAAAGTGAAATTTTAGTCTCCCATTTAATATATCATCTACTGTTCTTAAGATGTATATAATATAATCTTAAGATGTATGCATATAAAGGTGCCTTATTCATTTCCTAATCAATAACAGGCTTATTTTATATATTTATATGTAATGCAGTATAAAAAACATTCAACTCTATGTATTTATTTGCACTGCAGCTTGAAGATAAATATTTAACTCTTTAAATGCTTTTCTTACCGTGGAACAGCTGCTGTTGCTACTTGCGCTTGGAGTACTGCTGCCAGGAGCAACCTGTGGCATTGTAAACGATGGTATGGTCAAATTTTCACTTTGGGAGGCATGACTCTTCACTTCCACTGGCCACTGTTTGTTTGGAGGCAAAACTGCCTTGTTGTAGGTAGAGGTTTCCTCAAATGTTTGTGGCCCTGCATAGACATTAACAAGTTTAACACTTCTTTCAGCATAGCAATTCTGCAATGACACAATTGCAGCTGTGCCTGCTGCAGGGATATCAAGGCTATACATATTTAAGGTTTTGGCATGAATTAAGAAAAACAAATAAGCCTGATTCTGACCTTACTCTTAGAAATTTTAGACTGGTATGAATCCCTGACTCTATTCGTGTCACTCCCAATTTAAGCACAAAAAGGAGCAGGATCCAACCCATTGTATTTCCTGTTCTTTGTGGCAAGTGCCATGTGGCTATTTTTATTGTGCCCCAATTGACTGTACAATACTAACCAAAATCCAGAGAAATGATGGCATCGCCTGGGGTTGGTGCCAACTGAGCAAGTTCCTCTGGTTCTTCCTTCAATTTGGTGAACAGGAAGTCACTCTTTTCGGTCAGTGGGACCCCATTATCAAAAATAGTATTCATTGTCAGTAGGTGGGGTTTAAAAAGAGATTCTGTCTGGTCCATTGAGAACACAATATCATTCTTCTCAATTTCACTAACAAAGTAATTACATGAGTTAGGCATTTTGCAATTGAACAAAATCAGTGTAGAGACACGCTGTTACATTTGAAAGGTAAAGCCCCAAAATTCCACTCGAGATACCCAGACATGGTCCTAGAGTTGCCAGGCCCCCTTAACTTCATATGAAATGAGGGGACTGTTCTGTATTTCTGGGGAAAAACGTTGTTCTGGTTTTACAGCTTCTGTAGTTAGGTCATAGTGTTGTTGTGACCCACTGTAGTTTTAAATGAGTAAAGACTACAGCTTTTGGCTTAGTCTATCATTACAATATTTGATTTTTACCAAGCAAAGATTATTCTATAATCCTGATTTTGCTAAGGAAAACTGTTTCTTTCTCATGAGATGAGCAATGAGGACAAAAGCTAGTCTTAACCCCTTGGGCATAATAATAGCAAAAGAGCAAATATTGGCAGACTTGTTTTTACAGTAAAATGTTTTTCATGGACATTTATATTCTGTCCTACAGACCAAATAAAAGCCTTAGGTGCCTATATTTAGATACATTTTATATGAATGGGTGTGCTGTTTTTTAACCAATGTCAGTGATATTTGTATGTTGTTTGGTAGAATTGGTCCCTACAAAAATTCAGCCAGCTGCCACGATAGCATAAAAGTTCTCAAGAGCTATGGATTTTGAGGAAGCGTACTGCGATTCCTGAAAGCTTGCCAATGTCTACAGTTGGTCCAATAAAAGATATCGTCCAGAAGAATTCTTGCCTGCGGATTCAATGCAACTTACCTCAGTACATAGTTGACACAGATAATACACTGAGGCTGTAGATTGCGGGAATTGTAAATGACAGTTCCTTGGGTCTCCAGCCATACATATCCACCATGTTTTGCAAGCATACGATACTGGCCAGTTACTACTTGACCTTTTGCACACACTGGCAAATGAGAAAAAAAAACCATAAATAATGCAGCAGTATTTATAAGAAAGTAGTATATTAATGCAACACTTTTAAACCAGTAAAATTGCTTTTGAGTTTGTCATGTACAACAATAGCAATGGAGTTAGCCATTTTAAGTCTGATTTTTTTTTTTTTCCCCTTGAACAAATGTAGTAAGTTTTTCAAAAGCAGCCATGGATTCTGGGTCATCCCTTGAGATGCCTGCAATCTGATATTTGGAGATGGTGAGCACTAAAATGGGAACTCATGAACATCAGGTCCTACATGTCTCAATGGCCCTTGCCGTATGGGATACTTAGTACATGTTAAATCTCTGTGGTATTAAAGTTAGAACATGTTCTAAGCAGTCACACGCTAATGTTTACTACGATCTCTAATATGCACAGCTCTCTAATTGTCAGACCCAGAACCAACACTGCACGGGAGTCTTGAACGGGTGGTGCTGGGGCCAACAATCAGCTGACTGTCCATCTCAGCCCAAGGACCCCCTGGGGCTCTGGACACCCAGCTTTACATGTGATCCTGAAAGAAACTGAAAAGTCAAAGACACAGAATCCATCCTCCTGCCATTGTGGCTTTCCACTCTTTCCATTTTGCCTTTCCCCTCTTTCCGTCTGCCAGTTCCATTTTTATTTAGACTTCTTTGAATACAGGAGCCTAATTTTAAGTTCTCGTTTAAAAAAAAAATAGATCTTGGCTTAAATGAACATTTTTTCCTTTCCTGGTGTCCTGGAATCATGAGTATATGACATCAATATTCCAGATGGGTTTTGTTATTAATGGGTGCCTGTATATGAGACATTTACTGTGCAGTTGACTAATTAGCTATGCATTAAACATCTCAACATCTACACATGCCCCTATTAAGCTGAAGTAAACTAATTTACTATGCAGCAGGACAGCGTCTATATTTACAAGTGCTATCCTACTGTAGAGTAAAAAGCTCCACAGTAGCACGTGTAGTAGGGGCTGCCCAGCTGGCTGGGGTATGGGTGCTTCAGTGCGGGGACTGCCTGCTGGCTTGTCCTGCACTTAATTTCCCTCATGCCCCATGCCGGCCCCTCCACAGCGTATTGAGCTTGAAGCTGGTAGGCTGACCCCTGGGGCCCACTGCCAGCTAGGGCTGCTCCGCCTGGGCTTTGTGTATTGTGGCTGAATAAACTGTGGAGCTTATTGCTCCAGAGTTAATTGCTCCCAGGCACATGTTCAAATGGCACACCTGGGAGCAATAAGCTCCGCAGTTTATTCAGGCACTGTAATTGCACATGTAGATACACCCAAAGAAAACAACATATGATATGGTGTTGCTTTAAAACCCGTGTCATTATAGTAGCATGAAGTTGGGGGGAGGGGAGGAAAAAAAAACTTTCTAAAAAGCAGTTAAAGTGAGATAGTGAAGAATTATCAATGGTGGGTTTTTTTGTTTCATACAGAAAATGGAGAGTTCAACTATTCTGCTTTCCTGGCTGCTTCAACTGTGCAATTGTTATTCCTCCGTAATAGTGCTTCTTTGCCTACTAATTTCAAGCAAAGAATAAAAGTCAAGTAATACTAACAGGACAACGTAATACTTTCATTCAACAGCTGGAATTACGGAAGACAGAATTAATTTTTGCATACCAGCACACTGCTCAAAAGGTGTTGTTCAGGTTTACAGTTTCATGTTTAACAGATTAAAACCCAAATGACACACATAGTTGGAGGTGTGTACGATATTTCAGTGTAGAGTCCTTGACAGCTGAGAAGCTAAGGTTTTAGGAAGCTCTTTTTGATATGAAACTTCTTTTCCTCAAAACAGCTAATACGAACTCTCTCTCTCGCACTCTCTCATTCAAGTGAAAGTGTTTTTATCCTAATTGACAGCTGTTTCTATGTTAATGCAATACTAGGGCCTGAGTGTGTTACTCATATTTGCAATAAATGAGTGCTTACCCAAGTCAGTCACTGAAACCAGCAGTGCTGCTAAGTGCTCTCCTGTGGGAGTTTATACAATCAAGCCCTTAATGAACATTCTGGCAAATTTCCCCTTTAAGTTTCTTTTACTGGAACAACACTCTTGCTATTGAACTAGGTCATTAAAAGTAGCATCCCTTTATGGTAACTTGACCATGGGAACAGTCATTTCATTCTACATCCTCTTCACAGGTACGTTGCCTGTGTACTGGACCACTGCGGAAGCTACTAAAATAAGCGGAAGCTCTAACTGCATAAAAACCATGGAGCTGGGCACTTTAATTTTGTGGGGGGAAAAATCAGGGTAATTTCTACACTGTTTATTCTCCTCTCTTTGAAGTTTCTTTCCAAAATGTATTTCACCATCCTTTCTTTAACTTAGACTTTTTTATTTAGATAAAATACAAGATTATCATTTTTTATTAAATACTTGTATGAAACAAAATCAAAAGGCTTTTATTTCAGTGTGTTTTAGTGACTGTGTTCTGCTCTGCTGTGAAACATAATTATGTGGTTTCCTGATCATCAGCTCACCAGTAAGAGTCATAATAAGGCGCCTGTTACATTACAGAAAAGCTTTTTACTATCTTAATCTTATTTTTGTTTTCAAAGCACATTGTGTTCTGATACAACAAAGCATGGCAGAACACCTTCCTTGGAGTAACACTATAAATTACTAATGCACTTGTGAATGCTGTCTTTCAGTGATCTGTGCATGTTAAGTCTCAGACTTCCAAGCTGTTAGGAAGTTAAAATTTTTTACACACTTTTATTTTGTATGTGTATTACCAGAATTTTACAGCTTCATGGCATTGGTAGCAGGAATTATATCATCATATTTAGTCACCCACAGATATATCTCTTTATGCTCAGTTACTTTGTTTTGCTTTTAATTGCTTGTTCATTTTCACTGCTAATATACATTTGAAATAGATAAAAAATATGAAGTTGTCAAACTTCTCCTATGTGCTTCCTATTGACATGTCCCAGATGGCCAGATCCAGCTCCCATTGAAATCAGTGGCAAAGATCCTACTGGATTTAATGGGAACAGGACCAGACCCTAAATGGAAACAGTTATAGAATATTAATTGCTTAGTTGGAAAGCATAGCTCTGCGGTGAAGCCTCTGTGCACATTTATGTAGTATGACAAAGATTTTCATCTCCTCCTCACACAATTTGTAAAGATTGGGTATGCTAACCACTGCCAAATTAAATTCTAACCTTGCATTTGATGACAACCAGTTAAGTCTTTCATACTGTATAAAAGCTATACTTGCAGCCAAGAATTTGAACAGTACTATAGTTTATTTCAGCAAAGGGTCGTTACCTCATCTCAAAACAGCATTACACTATTATAAATGTGCAACAAGTGTGTTGAGTGTTATTCACTGACCAATACATTCAGGGAACAGTTCTATGTCTATCTGAAAGACTCATTTTATCTGTTTGTTCAACCTTCAGATTTTTCCTTCCCTATCACCCATTCACTTGGCTTTTGTGTGTAATGGCAGATTACCTTATGAAAAGCAAATCCTGTTGTTGAACTTGATTATTTTTCCTTGTAACACTAAATTGCTGGCACTGATGTATTCATAATCAACATATATATTGTAGTGTAGAATATGTTTACTTTAGATGAAATATTTAGGCTAAATAAAAGATGAATATTTAATATATTTAGTATGGAGTATTATTTTCCTCTGCATTTTGAATTGTTTGTGCCTATGCTTTGAGAAGGATTTTGTTAATCAGAGATTACTATGGCTGTGAGTTTTCTCAGTAAGTAAAATTACTTGAAGTGTGTGAACTTATTTGTACTTATAAAATTATGAATTAATACTATCCATTTTAAATCTATTATGCTATTAGTGTTTAGTAACTCAAGGTGTATGAAGTCACAGAACACAACTTCTGAATATTCGCTCAGGCTCTCAAATGGATTCCTTGTTCAACTAGACCAGTGATTCCCAAACAGGGTGCTGTGGCACTCTGGGGTGCCATGACAGCTTTGAAGGGTGCTGCAGGTAAAGAGGAGATGAACAAGATAAATGCAGGCTCCAGTGAGGAGATAAATGCAGGTTTTTCTCTGTCAGCCACTCCTCCTGTTCCCCTGCCAGTTGCTCCCCCTGTTAATTGGCCCCTCTTTAAGCAGGTACGCACTATAATACATAATTTTGTTTTTGAAATGGTGTGCCACTCAATTCACAAAAGTTATGGAGGGGTGCCTCAAGTCCAAAAAGGTTTGAGAACCACTGAACTGAAACTTGCTGGTGCCCTGATGGCTAGTCAACACTGGTTTGATATGTGCCATTCTTCTTCTTCCTTCTGTGTGCTCATAATGGCTAGGGACAGACATTCAAAAAGCCTGAGCCTGAATTGATTCAATCTTTGCAGATTAGTCTAACCTGGCTAAGCCAAATCAGTTTGTCACCGGACAGACATCCTAGAAATGCAGGTACATGCCTGCAGCGGCTCAGGCTAGAAACTGGGGGGGTGCTAGGGCAGCAGTCCCTTCACTTCCACAGGCTGATCTGACGGGGGGCAAGGCCAGGCCCCAGCAGGACACACTGATTTATTCTCCCCTCTCCTAAGGAGCCCAGCAGGGAATGTTTATCACCCCTAACTCAGTGTTTATCAACCCATTAAGAAAACAAAGCCTCTCTCCATTAACTAAGGGAGCTCTTCTTAAACAGTTCTTCCAAGGAACAACATTAAGCTACCTGTTGATTAGCTCCGAAGAGCCTGTCTGGCTGTTGTCTCCCACAGCACAGACCATAGCCAGCATGTGGTCTGCAGGCTAATGCTGAGGTGTCTGCATAAGGCAGAGGGGAGGGGGGAATAATCCCTGCTTAACAGGGAAAAGCCAGGCAGACGCTCTGTCGCTGCAAGTCTCTGCTGCAGCTCTGACTGGGGAACAGAGGGGAGGGGCCAGCCCTGCTGTGGAGCAGAGAGCCCCGCCCAGCCAGGAGAGCATGCCTGGATGCTGGGGGTGTCTGGTTTATCTTAAACCATCAAGGGGTCTGGGACAGACATTGCATAAACTGGTTTGACCCAAATCAGTTAAGTCTGATACTACATTCAACCAGGTTTATCTCAAACTGGTTTTAGACATTTTCAAACTGGTTTATGTGCACTTTCCCTAGCCAATAAGACTTACTGCCATGGTAGAAGTTCTAGGAAGTAATTTGTCTGACAGTGAGTCTACTGGACCAAATTCTCTCGTGATTTAAACTGACACTCTATTGAGGTCAGTGGAATTGCACTAATTTACATGTCTCGAGCATTTGCCGCCCCCCCTCCCCCAGTAGCAAAAGGTAGGTTGCACCCTACCTCCTCACACATCTTCAGATGCTGTGAGGTGAGTCTTAGTATTAAAGGGCCTGATCTGTTACCAACATTTGTTACTGACATAATGCCCACTGCTGTGAGCAGCTCTCTGTTGTTTCAAGAGTACTACTTTTGTTAATCACCTCTCTGGGTTTATCATTGATTTCAGTGCATTTCTGAACCAGCACCAATGTCCAGCAGCACAGACTCGGAGGATGAGGTCCTATTTTGAGGGTTTCCATGGCGCATGTGCTGGCCCTGTGTATGAGAGAAACCTAATGCTGCAAAGGCAAGAAGCACAGGCTCCATGGCTGCCTAGCCAAGGACGTTAATGGAGCCTCTGCAGACCAAGTTTGACTGAACAGAGCCCTAAATAATTAATTACAAACATGGACTCCTTCCCGCTCTCTCACATTACCAAACAAAGAAGCTGCCAATGCTCATTTTATTTCCTCTCTGGCCTTGTTTCAAAAATAACTGGCCTATGGCTGTTATTTTGGTATGTTGATCTATGGGACTTAAAAATGACTTAATGCAGCATACCCACTGATTGCTTGTGATGACTCTTAGACAAATATACACGGGTTGCTTGAGCAGAGACAATATCGTTAATTGCTCCTTGCTATAAAAGACCTAGATTGCTTTGGGGAAAACTAGATTGTAACAAACACCAAGTCAGTTAATGGAGAGCTGTCTGAGAACAAATTGAACTGCTCCTGGAAACACTGATTCATACCAACAATGCTCTGCAACACAGATGACTGTTTTTCCTGCCAAACATTTGGATTCTTATCTCACTGGGGATGTTAAGGTCTAGCACCGCTAGCTTTGGGGCTGAGGCAAATCCCCACTTATGGTCATGCAGTTGCCTGCTGTTGTTAATTCATGTGTTCTCACTGCTATAAGTTAAAACCTGCTCTGAAAGGGTCACAGAAAAAGCTGATTATCTATTAGTGGATGCCACAACAACCATAATATTGCTGAGCCTTTCCTCAGAAATGCATTTGAAAGACGCATATAAGACCTTCGTTATATGCTTATGAAATTCTTATTCCAACTCACAGTAAGACTGTCACAGAAACTGTATATTAGTCTGTTGCACTGTTTTTGGAAGCTAGTGCTGAAGATCACTCTGAAGAGGGGAAAGGAATCTTGAAAATCTGAAGTGCACATAGGATAGAGAAGAAATGTTGTGGTTAATTTATTCTAGGGGTTATTTTTATATTGCAAAGATGGCAATTATTACCTACAACAGAGAACTCAGAGAGACTTATGTAATAGCTTGATTATAACTGTATGTATTTTGGGTCATTAATATGCATTTCCTTATGGAAACCATTAACTTGGATTGAATTTAGTTTTCCAAAATGCATTCATGTGGTTAAATTACACGTGATACTCTTTGAAAAAACCCATTATGTCAATTTTTCCCTATATGGTGCCAACAGTTGTAGTATGTTGGACAGTCTCTATAATACGTGAGTTTGACAGATCCTGTGAACTGCTGTGAAATTGTTATAGTAGTGAATGTCTGTTTGGGCTGGATCCAGAAAGGGACTCAAGCATCACATTACTGAGCATCACAATGCTTTGGCTACACCAATCTGAGTTGAGCGGGAGGGGAGAAGCAGACACCACAGAACACTAGTTTGTGTGGATTCCACACTGAGCAGGCAGCTGCTGCAACTACCCACCAGGAAGCACTAAAGAGAGGAATGTGTCTTAAATCTTGCTCCTTTCTAGGAGTTAGAATTAGGTTGGAATTCACATCCCAAAACCTGCTCCTGGACTTTTAAGTTCAGTCTTTCAGCAACGGAGCTAGGGTTACTCCTTTTTCAAAATGGGAAAGCAGCACCAGGAAAAGGATGGGGGAGGGAGTGTTACATGCACCTCTTGTAGTTAATAATTCGGTTGCTGGATCCATAATTTGGATTTTAGATCCTCCTGACTGTAGGGAATTAGAATGAGTCACTCACCTCCCAAGACAGTGCTTTAGCCACCTGACTGTTAGCTCTCCCTTCATTTACAGTCACACTATTGTGTGAAAAAAGCAAGATTCACTGGGCCAAAGAGAAGGAACATGGCACTGTTGCTATGTGATTTAGGGTGTTCATCTGGGCAAGAGGATATCTGGATTGTAAGCCCTACTCCAGGAATGCATTTTACATGAAAGAGTTATGAGATGAAATGACTTGGAAACCACATATGCAAGGAGAACTTAATCGTGTGCGTTCCAATAGGCATTATCTGAATACTGATTGCCTTCCTTCATTACCCCATTATATTAGGTACTCTGGGGAGATTTTCACAATCTATCTTAATTGGAATTAATCTAAATAAAACTATTTTCCCTTACCTGCTTCTTTTGGTCGGGACAGATAAAGGATAGCAAGAGAAACATTGAGGAAGACACCTGAATAATAGGCTTTTTCTGTTCTATTAGATAACTTGTCAAAGACATATCCCTGTGGCATGCCACTATTCACTTCTTGCCATGTCACAACTTGACCACTTATTCCTTCTTATTGTTTCCCAGCTCATACCCAGTGTTTCAGCTTCTCGGATGGACCTTGTGGCATCAATTCATTTAGAGAAACAAAGGCCATGTCTTACAAATAAATACCCTAAAAATGAAGATTAACAATAATGACAGTGCTATCCATCTCTATGCAAAGGCCAGCACTAGGCCTCAAAATAGTTTAAAGGGATGCAAAGATCTTTTGCTAGCTATCTGTACAGAGATGAGTTTCATCCTCATAGAATATATGCAGAATAAAAAAGCAGCAACAATGTGCAATTAATCAAGGTTCAAGTTAGCATGACTTACAGTTCTGATGGCTTTTGGTCATACTTTCTGAGTCCAGGGCATGATAAAACTCATATGCTGAACGGCCCAGCAGTTCTTCTGGGTGGTATCCAATCAATTCAGTAATTCTTGATTAAGGGAAAAGATACTTTTATTAGACTTTCCCCAACTCCACAGGCCTATGTATTAAATGCAGCTATTAGTTTAAGTTTTTGGCAAGGGACAGGGGTGTAGGTTGAAGCTGTGTTGGTCTAAGGACATATGCACACAAAGTTCTTTGGGTAAATCTGATATCTTTTATTAGACCAAATTAAATAGTTGGAAATAGTTGGTGTGCTCTTCCTGGCTGGAATGAAAAGTAAAGAAGCCAGAGGCTGGGCTGGTATGCATACAAGACAGGTAGTCAGTGAAAATGTAGATTGAAGAATCAATGGGTGAGAGACAGGCTGGGAGGTGGGGTGGGGAGAGAGAAGGGGGATGAATAGTGGAGAGATACCTGGGGAGTCGGATGTCAGGCAGGTTATAATGTGTCATAAAGCCAATATCTATATTCAGTCCATGATTTTTAGTATCCAGGAGGTTGATGAAGTAGAGTTCATAGGCTCGTCTCTGGGAAGTGTTTTGTAAGTTTTGTTTGAGGATCAGGACTGAGAGATTGGAGAGAGAGTGGTTTTCTTGTGAGAAATGTGCCCCTACAGGCAATTGGGTATTCCTGTCTTTGATAGATTTCCATCAGGGCCCTGATGGAAAATACGTAGGAGAGACCAAACAACAACTGCACACCAGAATGAACGCACACCGGAAATCTATCAAAGACAGAAATACCCAAGTACCGGTGGGGGCACATTTCTCACAAGAAAACCACTCTTTCTCCAATCTCTCAGTCCTGATCCTCAAACGAAACTTACAAAACACTTCTCAGAGACGAGCCTATGAACTCCACTTCATCAACCTCCTGGATACTAAAAATCATGGACTGAATATAGACATTAGATTTATGACACATTATAACCTGCCTGACATCTGACTCCCCTGGTATCTCTCCACTATTCACCCCCCCCTCCGCCCCCAGCCTGTGTCTCACCCATTGACTCCTCAGTCTATAACTTCAGTGACTGCCTGTCCTGTATGCAGACCAGCCCAGGCTCTGGCTTCTTTACTTTTCATTCCATCCAGGAAGAGCACACCCCAACTGCAGGAACTTCCTTAGCCTGACAAAGGGCTTTTAAACCTGAAAGCTTGGTTAATAATTTTTTTTCAACTATTTAAGTGATCTAATAAAAGATCACCAAAAGAACCTTGTCTGCCTTTGGCAAAAGACAGATATTCAAAAAGCCTGAGCGTGAACTGATTCAATCTTTGCAGGTTAGTCTAACCTGGCTAGGCTAAATCAGTTTGCAGCAGACAGACATCCCAGAAATGCAGGCATATCGCTGCAGTGGCTCAGACTAGAAAACGGGGGGTGCAAGAGTAGCCCTCCCTTCCCTTCCACAGGGCTAATCTGAGCAGGGGCATCTCCAGGCCTCCTGAGCAGCCCAGCAGGGAATGTTTATCACCCCTAATTCAGTGTTTATCAGCCCATTAAAAAAACAATGGAGGGACACTAACAGCTATCTGTAGATTCTGCGTCTGTCCCATATGCAACAGCTCTGAGGTAGTCAGTATGAGGTCTGCAAGCTAATGCTGAGAGGTGTCTGTGAGGATGGGGGAATGCCTGCTTAGCAGAGTGGGGAGGGGAGGTGGGGAGTAGAAGCCAGGCAGAATCATACAGGAGCTGCAGCCAGGGAGCAGAGGGAGGGGCCAGCCCTGCTGTGGAGCAGAGCGCTCAGCCCAGCCCAGCCCAGAGAGCATGCCGGGATGCTGTGAGTGTCTGATTTAATTTAAACCAGCAAGGGGTCTGGGACAGACATTACATAAACTGGTTTGACCCAAATCAGTTCCATCTGATAGTACATTCAACCAAGTTTATCTCAAACCAGTTTCAGCCATTGCTCAACTGGTTTATGTGCACGGAACATCTCTTCTGTTACAGGTTTAAATCAGTTTCTGATCACTTAAACTGGTTTATGTGTAATGTCTGTCCCTAGCTTTTGTGGCAAGGGAACAGAAACACAGTGTCAAAGATTACAAGCCGTACTCCCTTTGGAACATAATGGGAGCAATCTAGGATTCTTAATAATGCTCCCTTGTTACCATGCTTCTTTTTCCAGACAATTCTTAATTATTTTAATTCTAAACCACAGGCATTAAAAAACCTTATATTTTTTCCTCCAGTGGCTTAATATTAGTTGTCACTGGAAAAATCACTGATTGCAAGTTCGCAATGTTATCTACAGCTAAAGATGGCCCTGATCCTGCACTCTTGGCACACCCCACCCACTTCAAGGAAAGATAGGTATGTGCAAGAAATAAGGAGCTTTATTTGGCCTGCCCATTTCCTTTTCTGCCTATATATAATCCATATGGCTTTGGCTTTAAAACTGAAATGCATCAATGTATTAGCTCATTGCTTTTGGAATTTCATTTATCTAAACAAAACACAAAGAAAACAAACCCAACGTGAGATAGTAATATTTAAAAAACAAAATCAGCTGCTCTGCTTCTGCCATGGTATTTCTCAACAAAAATTCCAGAAATGTTTTAGCACTTGGGGGAGTAATGAGTAATCCACAAACTAAGTAGGATTTACACAAACAGAAGGAATTAGGAGATTTTTTTAGATGAATAATAATATTAAAAAAAAAACCCTTCAAAATAAGTATGCAAGCACATTATAATAATTATTTGCTGGATAGAATTTTATTCTAAATGAACAACTCTTCTAAAATTCAACATACAATGCATGCAACAATCTCATGAAAACATTAAAATTTTTTCAGGAAACCTAAAATAGATTTCAGTTAATGAGAAAGCGTTATACTGAACAGTAAGGTTGTCACACCTACAGGAAAGATTCTAAGAAGCCACTACTGGATTTTTTTTTTTGTGTGTTACCTATAATACCCTTGGGTGACAATTTCTATTCTTTAAACACACTGCAGTAAAACTGGGAAACTAACACAACAACAAAGAACAAGTGGCTAACCCCTAGGTTGAAATAAACCTTACAAACCCAGGAAATGCGGACTTAAAATGAACGGTCAGCCTCTCCTGGCATCCAGCACGTAAATGCCATTATCATTAATCTGAACAAGTCTATTCTATAAACCCCAGGAAGGGGTGGAACATCTTTTCAGTTACTTCTGAGCAGAAAAGATGACCTGAGCAGTGCAGATGCCAAGGCAACTTCCATTAGCTACAGTAGCTTTACAGTAATGCAACACAGTGAAGACTCAAACCCAAAGTTTTGAATACAGCATTTACAAATGCTCAGAAGGGCTTATGGCTAGTCTGTTTTCTCACTGCTCAAATGGTTCAATGCCACTAAAATGGATGCATATAAACAAGCAAAAGCCAAGTTAATCTGAATGGTAGCCATCTCCCAGCCCTCCCTCCCCCACATAGGAGAATATATAAAGTGTAGGGGTTCATGTAGCCGTGTTGGTCTAAGGACATAGGCAGACAAGGTTCCTTGGGTGAATTTGATATCTTTTATTAGACCAACCCAAATAGTTGGAGAATATTTTTGAACCCGAAAGCTTGCTTAATAAATATTCTCCAACTATTTGGGTTGGTCTAATAAAAGATATCAAATTCACCCAAGAAACCTTGGCTGCCTATATAAAGTGTATGCACTTATATATGGCTTAATAGCTGACCTGTTGAGCCACGTACTTCAGAAACAAAAACACTGCCCACACCCCTGCAGCAACTTCACTTTGCCCAAGCAACTTCTCTCTGTGCCAGATTCTGGTTACAATGTGAGGAATCTAGAGCTACACTAGTTTGAGATAATGATTTTCTCCATTATGGGAACCCCATAGAACTGGTGCTTCACAGTTTTCGTAGGAACCATGATTAGGCTAGACAGTTTGCAACCTAAGACACCCTTTGCTGCAAGAGAGCATTTTATGAATAATTTACATGATTTACATCAGTGGTAGGACAGGATCAGCCATTCATCCTGCTCTCTGAAACTGAAGTAGCCACCAGTGCACTGATTTTGTTTGTTGTAAATAACATTTCTTCAAACATATCAAAGTAACACAAGTTTGATAAACACTCAGTTTTCTATTTACTTCTTCAGTAAATTAATATATACAAGATTACCAACTTCAGACATTAGAAAACCTTTGATAAAGCTGCTCAAAAATAACAGGAGTGGCTTCAGAATCATGAGATTTCTTTAAAATACACATTTGGGATTCTTTCCTAACTGCCTTCTGCTTTCTTAACCTTTTGATTCACATTCAGGTCAACTACAACAACTACAAATATACTTGTTCTTTGCAGTGAAAGATAAGGTTCTTATGTAGTCATTTTTTTGAAGCCCTAGCTTTTGAAAATAAATACTGAAAGAATCCCAAGAAAATTGTGAAAGTTGGCAACACTGGAAGTAAGTTCTGTAAACAAAGAAAAGAATCAAATCAGTGGAGATGTGCCGATATAACTGGCTACAAAATATGGCTAAAAGCACTAAGTTGAGTAAATAGTCTTTAAAATCTTGATCTGTTGTCCTTCTGATTAGTTAGTGGCACAAAAATCAACACACACCAGGTAAGACTGCAACACATGACAAGAAGCAGGTTTTTATAATTCAGGGACTTTGGAATGAACCCTAGTCTATAAATGTAAATTTAGGATGGAAGGGAATAGAAATCAACTGAAACAGCAAATAAATAAATAAAATAAAATTTAAAAATCCCCCTCCCCCCCACAAACCTGAAGGACAGATATTGAACTCGGTTCCTCAGTAATAAGTGTGTTATTTTTAACTGAGTCAAGCCATGATAACCAAGATACGAACCGTCAGTGCTATAACAATACTTAAGTTTTCTTTGCAATTCAAATATGGCATTCTTAACCTCCATGCTGATTCTGTGGATTTAATCCTCTATCTCCTCTTTCAATCTGCTCCCAACTTCCTCATTATTAAATTACTGTTCTTGTCATTCCATGACACAGTACTACCACTTGTAGCATGATCCTCCTGTGAGGATGTCAGATTTAATTAGATCAAATATAATCT